TTTGTGTTTTTTTTGGTTAAACGCAAGTTTGATTCATAATAATGTTCATATATGCTAAACCGTAGGTACTACAATTGATTTGAGTACATTGATGAAAAGCTCATAAAATTGGGATTAGAAAAACATATCTTACAAGGTTCCCACCTAATTTGTTGGGTAAAAAGAATAACACACATTTTTTATAACTTTAAAATGTCGAAATTTTAAAAAAATTCAGTTTTATCCAACAACAATTATTTTTTAAGGCAGGGGTCATGAGGACTTTTTTTGTTCCGTTTGAGATGTAAAAACACCTCTAGAAGTTTGACACGTTTATCGTGCAACACCCTGTATAATAATAAGGTATATACAGTCAATAGCTTATAAAATTAAAATTAAAACAATTTAATTAAACCTTTTTCTTAAGCATTATATTATGAGTTATGACTTACGAATGTTAAAAAGGTAAATTTTGTAGGGAACTGTTGTGTACTAATTATTATAGGATCAAAAGAGACGCCGGCTACGATAGTTACTGTTTTGGATATGAGTATAATATGACAAATGTACGTCATGAACGAGTATTTTACACTACACGCAGTACACACTCACCTAACCAGTTCTATCAAATAATAGATAATATTAAAATAAAAAGTACAAACTAACAAGAATAAGTAGGTAGGTATTTCTACACTTTTTTCTGGGACTTTTTTTACGCAAACCTAAAGGGTGTATAGGGGGTATCCGGAATATAATATGACATATTATTTAAACTTATTTCCAGTGTAAAATTACTAAAATATTGTTTAATACTCTAGACTCGTCACGCCCTTACCAACTAGGTATATATTGTATAATATTTATATTATACGCCGAAGTACAGTACTCACCCGCCCCAAGGTCGACTCGGTTTAAATAATGAGTCTGTTTTGGTAACAGTTATCCGCCCTCCACTTTCCCAAACGGCCAAACCCCTAAATTGGGACGTTCGCCCGATTTATTACGCGAACAAAAAACGGACAAGCCGTGATCTTTGTGAGTTTTGTAAACATCATACTATCTACATCGGCCGTCGTAAAATAATATTCCAATAATGTAGTCAATTATTATCATTCGTATTCAGTGATATTATTAAAAACGGCGATTACTTACTTTTATTGACGTTTTGCTCGTTGTACCGAACAGGGCTATAGAACGATTGAGAACGTTAAACCTTTTTGGCCGAACGATTGAGAACACTTAAAATTAGCAAAGACCTTTCGGCTGACCAAAAAAAAAAGCCAAAAAAAAATACGATTGAGAACGAACTTACGTGCAATGCTGCCATATAATTTATTTGGCTATTGAAAGATTCATTAATACAACCATACCTAAAATAAATATTCTTGACAAAAGTCATAAATTAATAATTATAATCTTATAAAAATATAAATCACCTAATAATATGTAATATAATATAATATGAATAAGACATGTAATATAATATATAGAACTTATAAAAAATATATAATAATATACAGAATGATTTTTTAAACATGCTCACCTCTATTTATTCTGATTTTTGAGATTTTTAAGTATTCCTGAAGACTATATTTTCAAATTCCTAATCATTTTGTACTAATCAAGGGGTGTTCTGTGGAGTTACAAACTTCCATTTTTCAAATAAAAATCACCTTATTTAGGGGGCGATTCTCATTAAAATGGTGATGTATCTAAAACGAAATTCTAACAAGTAGTCTCTGAGTTCATAAAATGTAATATTAAGGATAATACTCATTAAATATGGTGCTCAAATTATGGTTCGATTAAATTTGGCGACTTTGGAAAATAAATTAAATATCGAGCGTTCTCATTCGTGTTACCAAAAATAACGTTCTCAATCTTACCGTTCTCAATCGTATTTTACCGCCGAACAGTCCCACACCCTTGTGATTGTCATAAATTATAATTTATAAACGTTATTGATGAATCTATTCACTTATTATAGTATTAGGTGAAATCATTTTCTAATCGTTTATTAAACTTGCGCATACGAGTACATTGTTCGGATTCCGACAATAAATCACTTGTGATTTATGATAACGCTATCCAAAACTAATTTTTAAAACAAACAAAATGGTCATCTTATTATCATCCATTATTGCTCGTATAATATAATTAACATTGACGCTTTGCTTCAAATTGACTTAGATATTGTTTTATCATAAGATAAATTAAAATCACCGTTTTTATTTTTAAAAAAAAATTAATCAAATAGTGTTTGTACCTATAACTTTGTCTTGTTAATTTATCTAAGACACATAATATAAGACATACGTGGTCATAATAATATACGATCCGTAACATATAATATTAATGTCATATTATTTCACATAAGGATGAGTTGGCACTTAGTGGAACTGACCCACTAAATAATTAATTGATAAACTGTATTCCATCTACCCATCTACGTGTTCTGTCTCAGATATTATAGTACCTATAGAATATTTTGTACCTACTGTGTTACCCTTTTTGTTACATTAACAATTGTTTTCAGTCAGAATTTTATAACTCTTTCTATATAACCGAGTTATGAACAAAGTGTTGATTACTATATAATATTTAGATCATTGTATTATTTACGTAATTGTTTAATAGACATAATAGTGGTTATAAACTCCGATTCTAATGAACCCTATATCAAATGATAAATAGGTATTATGTTCACCAATTAAACAATTCATTTATTAATTGGATGAGTCTACATTAAAAAATTTAAACGTGTGAATTTTATACACTGAGTAAATGTTTACTGCCAATGGGTTTTAGGTTTTATTAGGACTTTATTGTGTTAGTTAATTAATTATAAGTAATTGAAGTTTAAATTAGTGGAAAAGAGTGGCACAAGGGTACCCGCAAAATGTTGGCCCTCTATGTTTTGCCCATTTAAACTTTAAATATCTACTTATAACTAATTAGATAGCTATAATATAAACTTCAAAATGTTATTTTTATATGTCGAAGTACTCCAAAAAAACATTCTATTTAGTTATATAAAATAAAAATGCAAAAATGTTGTTATTCAAAAAAAGTATAACGTTAAAAAATGTTGTTTTAAATAAAATAAAATGTATGTAAAAATAATATGTTCAAAAAAGTCAAAACTTTTTGAAATAATGAGTGTAGACACTTAAATGGAACACCTTGTTTAGGTATAATATATAGGAACGACAGTATGATGAAATGCGAAAACCGTGTGGATTCAGCAAGTGTATACAGTTCTGCGTTGTACGCGTGTAGGAAGCACCAGTTGATTGTGCAATTGCACGTCCTAACATCTGCGAAATAGATGTCTTTTAATTAATTTAACGAAGTCGGTGTAGGCTATATGTGCACTAATTTAAATGGGCAATAACAACGGGAGAACGGTATATATAGTGTGTACCCTTTTAATTTCAATTAGGCCCTGGTCGGCTTAAGTATTATAACTTATGGGTGGGTGGTGGTCGCGGGGAGGGTAAAAGCGGAATTTAGAGGGGAAGGCGTATTGTATTCGTATAATAATTGTAATATACGGGTGATGGGTTTCTATTAGGTCCCATATATTACAAATAATTAACACTAGCCCTGTACGTTGGTTAATTAGTGCATAAGGGAAACGATAACAGACGTATAAATTGGCTAAATTAATTTAAATGGATCCGTCCTAATTAAGCGGAAAACAAATCGACACGCACGTCCAAGTTTTATTGGAATTTGATTTAATATAGCGACGAAGGACGACGGGCAAGTATGGCGGTCGCGCATGCTGCCTCTGTTGTGTTAACAATTTGAATGTTCGCAAAAATCATATTGGCAAACATTTAAAAAGTGGTTCACCTAAATATAATATATATATATATATATGTTTATTTTTTAGCCGACAAAAACTGGTTGTAAGAAGACTAAATACCGTTTTTCAACAGAAATATAATACAAAAAACAACTTCATTAATTATTTGCGTCAAATTAAATTAATAATTTAAGTAATTTACATATAATAATATGAACTTTGAGAGCAAAATATAAAAATTAACCTACTCAATTAGCACAACGTCAACTTTTCGTTGCAAGTTTTTAAACTCGAGAAAAAAACGAATTTACTATTACTATAGCATCTTATTTTAGTACTGTATTATGTAGTAGATGTGGTTAACCGATATTCAATTTATTTCAATTAGTATTGTGTGTTACGGTATGAGTATAAAAAATAGATATCATATTAGTACTTATTAACATAGCTATGTGCGATATGCCTCCTATGTAAGTTATGAAACGATTGAAATCAATTATAGAAATAGAAGTATACTATTTTCTATACATTTTATAATGCAAGTACACAACCATATTTTTAAACGCTATTTCAGAAACACAAATTTTGGTATATGTTGACTTCTATGTATCTAAGGATAAAATATTCTATAAAGACATTCATGCTTAGTTTTTATATTTTGTTTAGTTCTTTAGTGTATCTAAGTCTTAATTAATTTTAATTAAGAGGACACGAATTCGTTGTCTCTAAAAAGTTTTTTGCGCACATACAATTTTAAATATACGTACCGCATTTCCAATACAGTTTTTCGTTTTTGATATAAGAGTAAATTTACCTGCAACCAAACTTAAAGACGATATATCATATGGCATTATTATCAGTGTACTCAAGTCAGACATTTTCAATATTTTAATTTTCAATTATTGTATGGTTTTTTTTCAATGTTATATTTTATTCACTAATAACTCGTTTAAAAATTAGTATGTTAAGTACTCTTAATAATTTTAGTACCTAGTTTAATAATTATAATATCATAGTCGATTCTATAATCTAAAACGTAATTGATCTTGTACTTATCGGTATAAATTATTGTATTTAGGTTCGCGATGATCAATATTTATTTATTTAATAGAAGAACTAATATTTTATATAACAATATGTCAATAATCAACTAGCGTTTAAAAAATTAACAAATGCATTGTTTCCATATTTTGCAGGAGCAGCTGGCGGAATGTTCTGCTATCATTGCCCAGCGCCCCCATTACACCCTACACCATCGACACGGATACCATCAATCGACTATCCGTTTTCGTCCTCACATCCATGTAAGTATTAATCCCACAGTAGTGTACTCTCTATATTAACCACAATTAAATGATCATTAGAAAAATATATAAAAGACCTGAATAAAAGTAAATTGACTGTAATCATATCTATATGCTTGGAGTCCCTACTTATACCTACACATATTTTGGCATTTGTACCTATATTATATATTATTTATTACATCATACGTGTGAATAAATAAAATACATACGAGTGTACAACAAGCAGATCAAATTTTGTAAATTATAGATTAAACGCCAGTAGTTTTGTATTGAATCAAAGTGCATTATTTGGATATTTTGGATCAAGTTCCTTTTTTTGTTGATTTTAGGTAGGTACATTGTTATTATATTTTTGTGTTTGCTATATAATGATATGTCTATATATATTATATATATTTTATCTATTGTTTTCCCAGAGTAAGTTTTCCCTTAATTATTATCATTGGTATCTTCAATTTCTTTTTAATTGCATTTATTATAAGCTTTTATGTAATATGGCGGCGATGGTGAATTTACTGCATTAAAATAGCGGCATTAAATCTAGGTTTAACTACGTAATAATATTGTACAATGAACTTCAACATAATCTTTTTGCTTCTAAAAAATACACTATACAGACACGACCGCATAACCCGGTAATTTAATTCCGGAAATGAAAATTTTTCCATGAATAATGAGTCTGGATTATCGTCCATTACCGGAGTCCCTATGTATGCAATAATAATAACGAGGCTTAATTCTTTGTTTTGAAAGTTTTCTGCGGGGGCTCAAAGATCCACAACGTGGTTAAAAATTTAAGTTTCAATTTCCGAAAGCTTGTTTTCACGGTGCTTGAATTTCCGTAAAAGTTCCGCAATATTGTCAGTCACGGGTTTTTGTATGCGAATAAAAGACGGAAAAATAAAAGCTATATTGATAAACTTTTGTACTACGTGCACCCCGGTTCCCGGGAAGAGTTCGCAACGTCGTGACTGGTAATGTTATAATTCGGTTTAAGCCGATTTCCACGGAGAGAACGGGTGGATTTAAAGCCGATTTGGTTGTTCTTAAAAAACCGTAACTCCCATTTTACAGAAAAAAAATCCCAATACATAGCTTTTAAAATAATATCAAACTGCCTCGCGTACGATTAAAAAGAAAAAAAAAGAATAATAATAATAAATATAAATAAAATAAAACCACGGTAACCCGATAGTGTGTGTTCGAGAGTTATTATATTTCTTCCGTCCCTTGGGTCCAAGAGGCCGGTTGCTGGTAGTGCATAATGGACCACAGTGCTGGGTAATTGGCGCCCATCTGTCTGACGGCCCAACAATTTGTATTTAAGCACTGGCCCGTCCGATTCGATTGGTATTTCGGGTGTTCTGACGGAGTGTAACGTGATTAATCAATGATACGCGTTGAGGTCGTATCTGAAAAGGGGATTTTTTGCTACTGGGGAACAAATAATATATAGATTGAGTATATATAGAATGTGAAAAATAAGATTACGTACATCAATGTTCACGAGTGTTTATGTAGTTATGAAGGGTCAGAAATTAGGGACCTTCTGCACACTTTGATCGCAACCATGGCTAAATATTAATGGGAAATTCAATGTTTACATGGCACCCACCAAAAAAGAAACGAGTATATTAAACATACTTACATTATGATACATTAGGTCTATAACGTTTGTGTAATGAACAAATTGTGTTAGAAATTAAATTAATAGTAAGTTATATTATAAGTTATAAAAATATTGTACCTATATAATATATATATTATAAAATATATTTCTTATAAATTAATATGGGTATACATAATCCTTTTATGTACCTATTGATGTATTCTCTAATAACACTTATATAAGTGATAAATGATCAATGACGACTATAACCATATACATAAGTAGGTAATGTGATTATAACAACTATTGTGTATAGGTACCATAAAATATTAATAACGATGAACCTTTAAATTGTAATTTTCGAACTATTGTATAAGCCTGATCAGTTATATTAATCATCAATAACTTCATGGTAGCATATTGTAACTATTTGATTATCCTATAGTACCTACGCAAGCGCCCTTTTGGTAATTCCAATGTTTAGGTACTATATATCCACCACTTTGCCGAAAAACCATTATGGCTCATTACGCCGGTGCCAGACCGAGCTGTGTATGAATATTTCAAAGGCGCAGCTAACGAAAATTTCCATAATGCAATCCTGAAGGAAACCCACTGCCCCCCCAAACCCGCTACCCTTGATCCGTAATTAGGTTCATTCCTCCTTAATTAAATTCCGGATAGAATCCGTCCCGAAGCCCCTCGGGACTTCTCGGTCCTGCTCGGCGTCTTGTTCCATGATTCACTTAGGAGTTAAACGTTGTTAGGCGACGATAGCTTTTACTGGGATACCATCATCCCAATCCCTTTTGCAATTCCTCTTCTCTAACCCACCTACTCTAGTTTTGCCTGGGCGGGACGGACCTTTAACTACGTTTTCAGTTTTACACCATCAGTCACGTACAGTATAAGTAAGGGGGAGTAGGTAGGTTCATTGATTTACAACCTAACTAATGTTTTCACGATCCCTTGATATTTGTAAATTACAAATAGTAAATTATATCCGGTCATTCGTTTCCACCTTATTTATAAAAAAAGTTAAAGTTAATTTCATTAAAAAATAATAAAAAATAAATTGTTTGTGTACTTAGTTAAATTATCTGAATAAAAAAAATAGCAAATACAGCTGCTTAATTAATACCCAACTTCGAAAAAATGGTAATCCTAATAAAATATGTCGACAAATTTTAAATTTTATTACAGGAAAAATATAATTTTTAGGTTTTAGGTAGATAATAATTATGTATTCATTTTTCCTGAATACTCTTTATGGCAATAAAACAATATTCAAACACTAGGTAAACCTAAAACCAAACCCCCTAACAGCCAATTCCATCATCACACTTTATTTATAATAATAAATTGTTATTTAGTTATCAAATCCCAATTTAATTAAAATGAAATATTAAAATTACAATTTGATTCATCATATATGTCATAATAGTAAATCGGTAATTTAAAATTATTATTAAAAATGTACCTACCTACATATTAGTGTTTTTACTAACACAACCAATAGTGCAGTACTGCAGTGTGAAAGATATTTTTAAAATTTCAATTTAAATATTAAATTATACATTCCATTTTTTCTCTTTCCGCTTAATACAATACTTTAAATTAAAAATGTTGAAATAATTATTATTAGGAAATTATATAGAACATTTTATAATGCAGTAATGATGCAGGACGCAGGTACCTATCATATTTTTAGATTTCAACGTTAATAATATTACAATTTAAATTCATATTTCTGCAATTTGCCCAAAAATAGTGAGTAATTACAAGAGTCAAAATTACTCTTATAAACTGTGATTTGTATATACAGTTGTCAATCTTATGATTATTCTGTAATATTTTTAGAGCTGTCTGAGTCCTAAAATCCAACTCCATAATGAATAGGTATTACCTATATTTTTAATTTAAAAAATTTGTATTCAGATGGCCTGTTTTTAAATCACAAATCTTATGCAGTTGTGCTTTTAGCAATACTTCGTCTACTTTATAACAGAGTTTAATAATTAACAATACTATATAACATCTTAATATACCCTCATGTTAATATAATATATGCTATACCTAATTAATATCATCGGTTATGTTTTATTTTAGACACTAGTTATTCGTATCACCCTGCAATTCATGATGATTCATTTGTTAGGCGTAAACAAAGAAGGAACCGAACTACATTCACATTACAACAGGTATGTCGTATGTTTGTACTTGAAATTTTTTTATACTGTATATAATCAAAAATATTTATATTGTGTTGTCATAATAAATGATGCATTCTTTGTTTCTTACCACGTTATATAGGTTCTACTCACAAATTGAAATTTTTATTGTTTATAGTTCCACACAAACACAATAATAGTTATTAAGTAATCAATATAAACTTACTACTTACTACTCAGTACGTGTACACTACGAGTATACACACTGATTTTTGTCAGGCATGATCACTTCTTTTTGCATTTATAAACATTTTTATTTTTGGATTTTTTTAGTTTATTTAAGACCAGATTGCAGATAATAAGATTTTTTTATGCAATTTAGAAGTGTGGCGTGGCGATGACAATTTTTTTTAATGAAAACTACCCTTTTCACAATAAATTATTAAGCCGAAGATGTTTTTGAAAATGTGGATAAAACAAAATGTTAACAAGTATTTTCTGGGTTAATAAACTTGTTCTAAGGATAATAATAATTGTAGGACAAATAAATATATATGTAATATTTATTTTCGGCTAATTATTTAAAAGGCTTTCTAACAATATTATTTACTATATAAATTTAAAATCAACATTTTGCCCCCATGTCTTAAACCTATTTTCGTATGACATGATATCTAATATGATACTATCGATTATGGATACCTTCATCCAAAATATTATTTATAATATAAATAATCACAGATTTAAAAAAAATATTGTCTGTATGATATGCATTTTTACTGACTTAACTATTAATTATTTTAGATAAATATAAACCGTATAAACTTTTGTTTGTTTCGTTTTAAATTAAAATAAAGATATAAAATTTTAAAATATTATCAATTAGTAGGATTTGATTTTAAAATTAAAGTAGCTACCTCATATCTATTTATAATATACGAGAATATAAAGTTACCTATCTCAATTTTTAATTTAATAGGCACTTTGAGGAAATTGTGTTTCCTTATAGTATCGTACGTATCGTACGCAGTTTAACAATATTATGAATGAGCTTTGACAAAATTGCAACACGTTCTTAGAACTTTTTTCTTATAAAACTTAGAATTGCAAAAAGTATTAAATTATGTTGTAAACGTTACAGTTTCTTACAACCAATTATCATAAAAATAAATGTTTCCTATTCTTATTATTTTAGCTCGAAGAACTGGAAACGGCATTCGCTCAGACTCACTACCCAGATGTATTCACAAGGGAAGATTTAGCAGCTAAAATCCAATTGACTGAAGCTCGTGTTCAGGTATTATTTAAAACTACACACCATATTGATATAATATATAATACTATGGTATACATCATTGTATAATACATATTTTAACAACGTTAATGAATACTGAAACTGATGAAACAACGCTTTTTATACAAATGATATCTACGAAGAAGCCAAGAAAAACATTATAGAAACATAAAAATAATTATTTTCGCCATAAGAAACTATATACCATCATACATATTACATAAACTATATTAATCCTAATAAATTTCAATTATCCTACGGATGCAACATTTTATGCCTTTGTGGGCTTGTGGCATTTAATTCGATACGAAAGCAAATATCTCATCGTTTATCTCTTTATTTTTACGCAAACATTGCAAACGACGCCGCCATAATAAGGAAGACGGTTCAGTTGCTATGGTAACGCGTCGGCTTTGGCCGCCATTGAATACACTTAAGGGGTTAACTTAATAAAATCACTGATGTAATAAATAATATGACAAACTTTTAAACCTTTATTTTTATATTTTTATATAATTATAATTTGCGGAAAAGTGTACGCATCAACCTATGCTGAAGGCTAAAAACTCCGCTCTCTCAATTAAATAATAATATACTCTTTTTCATTATAAACGCGTTGGGCACGTCTGCCACAAATGATCGATGTATAATTCAATTATTGAGCTAATCGTATTTAAACTTTGATACCTACTAGGTCTAAAATAAAAACAAAAGCAAGAATGTGTCGACGAGTATTATTTATAAGTACAAGATAAGTTTCAACGAGAAAATATAAATAAGCAGATAAAAATACATATAAAAGTCAAAAAAATTGTATAACGTTCATTATTATTTTTATGTAAGTTATTAACATAACTTTGGGGTGCCAATTCAAAAATTAGTCATTAGACCTAAATAACTCGTTAGATTTTATAATGTTTAATCAATTACAGAAATATAAACAACTACTCATTTTATGTATTTGGTTTTCGATACATTATAGATTTATGCTATAAACTTTCTCGGTCTGATTTTTAGAACCATAAACCAACTTGGTGTCTAAACTTAAGAAAATGTAAAATTACAAAGAGAAACAATTACGGTTATCGAAATGTTTAAAGTTGAATCTGTTATTATTTTTCGAATAGGTATATTATTATAATCTATGCAATTTAAACCAACTACGTATACTAACTGTGTATTTTATTAATAGCTACGACTTCAGAAAATTGAATTTTAAAAACATTCCAATCCTCGAGTTATAAATTCCTAAAGTGAGATTAAATTTAAAACAAATCTCTAAGTACATCTGAGTAATAATAATTAATATGCTCATGCTACGAAAAAACGTTATTTTCCTCATTAATTATTTAAGCAGAGAATTTTCATCTTTTGTCTTGCAAAAATATAATTATCAAAAACACTTTTTTTCTGCTGACCCTTGAAACTAACACAACCAGTAATTGGAGGCATTGTTTTGACGTCCGGGAGGTCGTCGGCCGTCAATTAGTGTTGGACACTCCATCACAGACCCCTGTCTCAGTGCAACACAAAATAATGATAATTAATAATAATGTTAAGGCTTCCTGCCTTCAAGCTGTTCTAAAGAGAAGCTTTCTTTGTTTTTTTTTTTTTTTTTAATAAGGCTTTACATAAGTAAGTATGTTTTATTATACAATTGAATTTATACCTCTCACTTCTCAGTTTCTATCAACCTAGTAGTTAGTTTAAAATCACATAGCTCATTTATATAAACCAAAGCATAAAACTACAAATATAATAATCGTTGAAACTTTACTTCAACAGATTGCAGTATCTGTAAATTTGTATAGGTATTAGGTATGTTTTAAAATTGTATTAAAAAATATATTAAGTAGGTTTATTACTCCAAGATTGTTTTGTGTCTAATCAAAAAAATACATTCCAAACATTTTTATTATGATTGGAATACGAATTAAAATATTATAAATTATAATTTTTCTAATATTATATTGTAACATACTAATAAATAAAATATTGTCACTACATGGTTTCGAATCTTCAATTTCTTTTCAAATGACAAAAATATTTGCAAAAACATATTAAAAAGAAAACCATTATTTTTATTTTTGAAAATGTAGGTATTAGAAGAATAAAATAATAAAGTACTTATACCAAAATAATATAAATTTTAATTTATTTTGATTATTTAGTGCCCATTTATATGTATAATAGAGTATACAATTTATTTTTAATGTTACTAAAAACCAAATTTAAATACAAATATAATTAAAATATAATGTGACATAAAATAAATAAATTAAATAATAGGTATATATTTTTGGTTCACATATTATTTTAACTTAATTTTAATATTAAATCGGAATCAATAAACAATTTATTGATTCTAAAACACCAGAATGAACACACTTTGAATATTTAATGGTATTTTAAAGCTTAACTCAATAATCGTAATCTAATAACGTATAATACATAGGTACTCAAATATTCATTTTAAGCCCGTGTACCTATATTAATACCGGACGTTATATTATATTTCCAAAACTATGTTAATTTCTACCAATTCAAAATTCTGTTTATTAATATATATTAAAATACTTGTATAAATGTACTTTAATACTTACATAAAATTAATTGGGTGGATAAGTTTATAGTTAATTATCAGGCAATTATTGGTGAATAACACCTTAAAATAAAATCGTCTGTATATGGGTATGTATCACGCAATAACACAGGTGATTTGTGAAATAAAATTGAAAAAGTCAACCTCATCTAAACTATGTATACGCGTATAAACATATAAATTTATCTTTAGAATTATTTCGAGTGTAAATCTTACCTCTGCGGAAAAGCAGACATAAAATATTAGGGTTCTTTTTTTTTTTTTAACCAACGAGGGTTAAGGGAGCCTAGGGGTGATTTTCGATTTCAATGTAATCCGACAGCTAATAGGCTACCCAAATGTCAATATAGTTTTACTTGTCTCGGACCATTAATGTCTCGTGCGATGCAGCACATACGGTACACCTAAAGAGACCACAAAATCCTTAGAGAATTCGGTTATGTAATATATCCGTTTTGTGATTTCCTTTTTAAAATTATTTTTTATATGTACGCAACATACATTGATGTAATATGCTCTGTACGTTGAAATATATGTTTCGTTTATATCTTTTTTTAAATTTTAAAATTGATAAGCATAAAAATATCAAATTGCATGATTATAATTATTCTAAAAATGTATTGATAATTAATATTACAAAAACGATTGTACCTATTATATGCGTATTACATAATATAATCGTTTTTGTGAATATACGCGTTAATAAAATACGAATTTTAATTACATTTCTTAAATCCTAGCGTTTTATCATTATTACTTTTTTTTTGCAGGATTTGAATGATTTAAATTTTAATACTTTAATAGAAAAAACAGAGCATTTTAATTACAAAAGTATAATGCATTAAAATTGTATGATTTAAATTATACTTCCATAATCATTTTGTAAATTCCAATTAAAACCTGCACAACGAAGTGTAGATACTTATCAAGGTATATATATATATACCTAATATATTTTCAAAAAATGTTTTAAATTCTCAATTTAAAAATACTTTAGTATAATATAATAAAATTACAATGTTTCCACTATCTCAATTTACGTCTCCTGGTTGTTCTTTGTCCCTATGTTTAACATTTATAATACAAACAAATTGTTACCTATATGTATATACCCCCGACTTGCTGGAATTTCCATTCGAAACTAGCATTTAATCTCAGCAACTGAAAATCTGCAGTAGTTGTTCGTTAAAACTAAAACTTATGTACAAATTATGTCTGTTTCGACGGGTAATTTTTCAAACGCTCCTGCAGGCTCACGCACTCGACCGCGTGGTATAACACGGCAAAGTAAGAGTCGCACTTGGAAACAAAGCACTAAACACAGACGAATAAAACTACATTCGTTCCCTCTCGTGTCAAGCATAGATACATGCCGTTTCCTGAAGGCACACTCCTTACTTTACTTACACACACGGTGGAGTTGCACGCGAGATATGCTTAAAAAAAAAAAAAATTCAAGGGTTCTTTGGGGGTCTCTTGTGGCTTCGGCGCGGACTCTACGTCACTTAACGAATTGATACCACGACCCCGTTGGTGTTATTGATGTTTATTTGACAGCCGCGCATTTTGATTCCCAAATGGGTTATACTCGTGGAAGAGGCTGTGCCGCTAGGGCCCTGTGTGCGGGGTATTCGAGCGGCTTCAGCAACAATAACCGGCAAAGTTTTAAACAGCCGGAGAGTGGAATAAGAAGCCCCGCGAGCCAACAAGACAACACAAACCAAATGATGGCTCCTTGACGTCGTGCGTGTGTTTTGCGGACGTTTATTTATTAAGCAATGTTTCTCGGTTCGGCAGCTGACGGAATAGGAAAAATAAAAAAAGAGAATAAATATTTTCAATATACTTTATGAAATTTTAGAAAAGGGGCATTTAACGTCAAAATGTCGAATATCGATTATTAGTGTATTTGACCATTCATAATATACAGTTCGTGTTGTTGTACAATTATATTGGAATTTGAATATTATAATATACCTACAGATAAGTTTTATCTGCTGACACGTGCAATAATTATCAATAATTTTAATAATTTGCGTGTGTATTATTGCAATATTGCAAGACCATTAGGTATAGAAGCCTTAAACTATTAAATTTAATGATTATGAATTATAAATTATGATATAACATGTTTTAACTTTTTTTTTTTTTTTTGTCTGTAGGTCTGGTTCCAAAATCGTAGAGCGAAATGGAGAAAAGCCGAACGCCTGAAAGAAGAGCAACGGAAACGAGAAGAACACGATAGGACTGGTTCACTGCAAGAACAGCTGGATCATATGGCTAAAGATATGCAACATTCACCGTCCACAAAAGTATGTTAATTCATAATAATTAAAAAAAAAACAATAAACTTTCACTGGGGCGAATGTCGACGAGATATTTAGGTAATAGGTATATCTTAAAAGTTTTATGTTAGGCAAATAATAATGTTCAGAGCATATAATTTATTATACAATATGTTGTTAGCACATCGCGTTGTCTCGTTCAAAAACGAGAGCGACAAACTTTCAAGCTTTCGGCCGTTTGTCATAAAAACACGCGTTTTATGATACATATAATATTCGAAAAGCTCCCAGTAAGATATATATCTTTTGAGAAATATGACCAAATGCAACAGCAGACAATATGCAATAACAATAAGAGGTTTCAGCCACAAATCTTGGTGCAGAATGTTGTGTTCGCCGCGTGTAGATTTATTTATTTATAGAAAACCCTTTCGGCAAACGAACCTAAATATAATGGAGGGAGATGACGGGGTTTTTGATTTATCCGTTAAGTTTAATTTGCCTCAGGTGTTTTACGTAGAGCATATCCAAATTTATGGTGTTACGATGATGTCATCTTAACCCTTTTTAATGTATAACCGAACACTGCGCGACGGCGTTATACGCGCAGCGGTTTTCCTTCATATATTTATCACCCGAGTCGCTTGTCATCGCGCCCGCTGATTTATTGTCGCCAGTTAATAATCTCTTAACGCTTTTTCGTTAATGTCAAGCAAATAGTTTCCAGTTGTCGCTTAAAAAACAAACAAGCATTAAAAAATGAAAAAAAAAACGAAGGAAAAATGGAAATAAAAAAAGGGCGAACTGTAGAATAAAAAAAACCGACTTTACAGTTAACCAAGATGGTCGACGGCGCCATATTTATTTCATTTCTTCTTTTTACGACGCTCGTTTTCACAGCGGACGTAATGTATTATTTATTAACCGGACCCGCGGGTCATAAATCATGAAACCGAATAAAAACGACAGTATTACCACAGTTTCCTCCGGATGATCATTTTTCAACCATAAATAACTTTGCCATTATATTATGTTTTAAAATGAAAAATAAAACAAGTACAATATATACCGACACGATAATTCTTTTTAGCCGGACTGGTAAAAAAACTCATTCATTCGATAATAATAATGTTTGTATTTTAATATTTATTATTTTTCCCGTGTACATGTATATACTATTGTAGTGTTGTACAATCATTATCGTCTTACTTGTGTATAGGCTAACGCATTAGAAGGCGAACAGAGAGACGATGGACATAGTGGCAGCGAGCCGGACGAAGATGCACGTACCAGTACTGTTCACATATCGGACAGAAGCGAATCACCTGCCAGTTGTGGCATGAACGGCGGTCCAGACGATAGGCCAACGTCACCATCGCCAACAGGGTTAGTATTTTTTAGTATTTTGTTGTCTGTCACATGTCGGGTTGCAAGGATATAGTCGTTAGTCGGATATGGTGAAATCTATAGGGCCATATGCCCATATATAGTTTTGACCGAAGTTCGAAAAAGTTGTGTTTACTAAACTACGAATACAATGATTATTTTTCTATATACCTACCGCAATATATTTTTATCTTTTAAATGCCTGCCTCCCGTTTAAAAAAAATTTGTATTACCAAGATTGTTTTTGTAAAGGGGTATTTAATTTTTAATAATAATAATATGATCTTAAATACATCCCGCATGGTACATATCATAAGTCAATTAAATTGTTTTCATTGGATCTATACGCAATGGTCAATTTAAAGTATTGTGGCTTGTATAGGTTAAAAAACTGTATATTATATGCTATAAGTATAAATCATATACGAAATCACATATTATTACGTTATTTAAATAGGTACCTCTACTTATATATTGTAATATATTATGTTGGAAATCAAACATAAATCATAATAATATTTAAATTCACTTTTTAGTTAAATGTAATTTGCTTTTTTACCAAATTGTTTAGATTTGGCTCGTATACTGTTTGATATATATTATTTACCAGTGAGAACGGCACCATTCGTTAAAAGTTATAATCAGTTCCACACAAATATGAAGGTACCTAGTTATGGGACAAATTAGTTTTACACATTGCGGTTAAACTTAATTTGTTTCAAATTTTGACAATAAATTACTATCTAGTGTCAATGTGTGAAGTGTTAGAAAAATGAAAATAGTCCCCTTTTTATTTTATGGAATAAGTATATTATACGATGCTGTGTACATAAAATAATATGCCATTAAAGCGAATGACAAGTGTCCTTGGCTAATTTCATTCGATTCGAAATGGTGTGTAGCGCTTGTTATGCCACGCGTCCAATTGTTGTTAATAAATCGTAATGCAGTTTAAGTGAAGATAAATTCAAATTATACTTGGTAATTGAGCCAATTAAACAATCAATTCGAATGGCTGGCGATAGAAGTATATACACTGACACGCGTTTTTTCCTCAAGTGACAATGAAGATAATAACACTAGTAATGATTGCATTTTTCATAGTACAAAAATAATTTAAGGACTTGAATATTTGAAATGTTTTCATGCGTATATTTTTTTATTATTGAGTTTTAAAAAGTATTTTTTTGGGGTTTTTGTTTCAGGAATGGAACCGTTGTGGTGCCAGATTCACCGACGCCTAGCCTAAGTCCTTCGCAAATCCGACCGCCCATCAGTGTAGCAACGTCAACATTCAATCATTCAATATTTACTCCATTCTCTTCCGAAGGGTAAGTAAATTACTGCAATTTGTCAAAAGATTAACCATGATCCTTGCGAAAAACCAATACCTGCGGGTCATTCGTGTTAAAAAAAAAAACCAACAAGCTTTATTTATTTATATTACACCCGTACGTGTATCAACCACTAAACAGATGGCGTATACGCGTATATATGTTCGTGTGGCTTATGGCTAGGCTACCCTTTTTTCTCTCAAAATTGTTGTGTTAGCAGATTGTCCGAAATTGAACAAAAGACCCGCCACTGGGGTGTTCTCTGAAGGGTCGCTCTCACAGTGACGTGGTTGTCGCAGCCAACTTTTTTTTGCTTGTTTTTTCTCCCTATCGCTAATTTATTATGTAAAATCGCATTATAATATTATATACATCGAGTTGGTTTTCAAGTACGTGTATCGATTACGTTGACAAATTAAATACAACGTGAAAAATTAACCATTAAAAAAAAAAATCACTTTATTATTAAACTTAATCTGAATTTAAAATATAGTTTTGAAACGTATTCACCAAAATGAACTCGTTATAATAATATGTAGGGCGTAGGTAGGTATATGTATAATATTCTATCTTACGTTAATTGTAAAATAAATATTATAGATGTTTCGAACAACACATTAATTTGAATTTAAATATGTTATGTGTGGATAATTTAATACTGTCTAAAGGATAATGAGTAGATAATTTAAATAAAGTTCTACCAACTCCCCTCAAACTTCATATGTGTGTATTATATATATATATATACACGGTATGATAAAATTAAGCTAATTGTAAGTAACGCAGTATACATGCATTTCTTAATTTCCCAAGAGAGCATGTTCTATAGATCAAGAGGTGTGTATGTACCACGTGTACGCATTTTGATTAACATGTTTTTACACAAAACTGTGACGATTATATTTTAATAGCGTTAATAGTATTACAATCACTATATAGATTATGGTGTGTATAAAGTATAAACCCTTTTCCATTATAGTCGTTCGTAATGCAAATAAAGATTTTAATAATTAATACGTAATTATATCCACAAATAATTCTTTCAGTTTTATTCTACGCCCTCTTAAATATACTGGGTGTAAAATTTTCTTTTTTATATACCATCGAAACTATCTAAAGAACGTTTTATATAAAACATAGTTCAAACTTGCACAATCTATTTCATCTGTCCAAACGCTCCATATATCTTGTTTATTTTTCTAGTCCTGCGCCAGCCCTTGACTCCTTTTATTACATCCTATTTACTTTCTTTACAACTTTAGTATCAGTAATTTTTTCTTTACTTTGACATAATCTCTGTGGGTTTTTTCATAGATATTTCAATTGAAATTTTTAGAATTCCATTAATAAATTCGTATTTACGTTAGTCATGTCACATAGTTTATATATACACTCGATGTTTATATCTTTTCAATTTTAGTTTATTGTTTACGGTTTTTTCTTTTACCTCAGTTGATTTATCACATCCTCAAATACCTTTTCAAATAATATACTGTCATATCTCACTTCCCCCCGCACTCCAAAGTTTTTATATTTGTAGCACGCGTTTGGAAAACTGCAGTATTTCTTGAGCACCCACCTTATAAATTATAATATTTGGTTTTCACGAAATGTTGGTTTCAATATTTGAATGCCAATTTTAGTGACGGTGCTAACTAATAATGTGTTTGTTTAATTTGCTATAATTCGTTTATAATTCTTCACTGACACAAATTAGCCGAGTCGGTGAAGGATAACGATAAAATAATAATAATACTACTTATCCTCGGGGCGGTCGGATCCAGGGGATTAAATAATTAAAACCAAACTGTCCGATAATGTTTGTAATGTTTGTTTGTAAGACCTATACACACAAAATATAATGGTCGCCAGTCGTGTATTATAATAATATATTGTTTTAGCGAGAGCGATTCACATGTCAATCCTCCGGCGCGCGACCGCCCACCCTCGTCGTGTAACTCGCGTAAAGCATATAATAATAATATTATTATTATTATTTTTATTATTATTATTATTATTATTATTATTATTACTACTACTGTTTGTCGCCCCTGCGAGGACAAAACGATCACTGCTCTCGAAATCCTCGACCGGCGGAGACAATCGTCGGTATTATGGTGTTATTAACGTGGAAAAGTTTTTCTTTCGGTGACAAGCGCGCACGTGCTGCAGCACCACACAAACACACACGCGGGCGCGCCGCGCGCACACGTGCCGCCTGCTACACCGGCGGTGGTCTCAGGTTACCGAATAATTCGGTTTCGACGGTCCGCGAGGACTACAACGGAGCTACGGGCGCGCGAGTCCGACAACCTCATGTCCTCATCCCGCTAATCCACGCACACTCACACACCCCACAGAAGACTGTGCGACGGCTATTTTATTATTATTGTTATTATTATAGTGTATCGACGATTGTCGTAGTAATAATAATAATATTATAATTTATAATAATACAACAATAACAATAATAACGTATAACCGTCGTAAGCGACGCCCGTTAATTCGATTTGAATCATGCAGTGTTACGTAGTACGTAATATTATATACGCGCCGGGTGCGATTTCTATTGAGTAAATGCTATGTCGGTGCTAACGATATCATACGATGATATAGTGATGTCCATAGTTCGCTATAATATAGTTACTCCTATATATACAAATTAAAATTGGGAGATTGTGTATGTATGTGTATTTATTGGTTATTAGAACCTATACGATTCCACAATTTCGTTGTTGTGATTGTTGTGCTATTGAGGTATAAATGAACTACGGATGTAAGGTTTAAATTATCATATTATGTAAATGATTATCTTACCTAAATATATAAATAATAGATCCGTTATAGATTTTTTAGATTTACGAAGATTTATTAATGTATAGCAGGAGTCGGCAACCCGCATAGCAATTTTATTTGGCCCCACGAGTATAATAATATGTATAATTTGTATATTATGTATAAAAATCATACGAATTAAAATAGTAAGGACTGAAAACAGTGAATTGTTGTTCTTTGTAGAAACATTGTCAATCTAATTTTGTGCTCGTGGACACCAAAGGCTCATGGATCAGATTTTTAAAGGGCCCCAAAATAAACGGCCTTGGGCCCTGCAAAAAAAATCTTACGTTTAAATATTTTGATAGATACTTTACAGAGTCCCTACTCACTACGTAGACCAAGAACACACCAAGCAAATATACAATTTAATAGACCCTAAAAAAAAAAACGGTAGGGCACCGGCCACGTTTGCCGCCCAGCGGGCCATAGTCATAGGCCGACACTGGTCTTTACATTAATATATCTTAGCAAATTATGAACTTAAATAAACTAAATTTATTATGACTATACATTTTTTTTTTTTTTTTTTTTTTTTTTTATTGATCGAAAGACATCGGCGACAACGGCCATTAGTCATAAACGTTACATTAATTACATTTTTTTTTTTTTTGGTATCTTACATATAATAATTTTAAATTAAGTCATACAATTTATATTTTCTTAAAAAAGATAAGATTTGGAGTGAGGAGTCTGCATTTGGACCGAGGGCTGCGTCTAAGGTGGTTGAGATGTTCAGCTGTTCGAGTGCCTCTGTGTATTGTCGGCATTCTGTGAAGATATGATGGACTGTTAGTTCGGTGCCACATGCTGTGCAGATAGGTTTTTCGTCTTTTGACATGAGATAACCGTGGGTTAGTCGAGTATGCCCGATGCGAAGTCTGTTAATGATTATTCTTTCTCTTCGTTTCGTGAGGAAATTGGGCCAACTGAATATGGTGTTTTTGATTTTTCTCAATTTAGTGGTTTGTCCGAGCCAGTGTGTTTGCCATTTGATTTTAGTAAGTTCTTTAATCTGTTTTTTTATGTCTGCGAATGTAGTAATATTTAATATGGGTATATCAGTGTGCTCTGCTGCTTTCTTGGCTTCTTGGTCTGCCTTTTCATTGCCCTCTATGTCGCTGTGCCCCGGGATCCATACTAGTGAAATTTTGATTCCTGTCTGATATGCTAGGCTAGTTTTTTGAAGTATAAGTTTTGCTATATCTGTAGTGTTGAATGGGTTTTTGAGGCTCGTGAGTGATGAAAGTGAGTCTGACAGGATTAGATTGCTTTTGTGGGGGTTTCCATGATCGTGATTAAGTAATATGTGATCTACTGTTTTGAGTATTGCTATGGCTTCTGCCGTGTATATAGAGCAGCTTTCGGGGAGTTTGAATCTGATGGAGAGGTCATGGTTAGTAATTGCGATTCCCACGCCTTTTCTAGATTTAGAGGCATCAGTGTAATAACAATTTGCATTCTTGTGATCTTGGAGTATTTCGTTTAAGTGATTTTTGTAAATCATGGGTGAAGTGTCTTCTTTTTTGAATTTAGTTAAATCCAGGTTTATATCAATATTGAAGGCCCATGGGGGGAATTTGAGGGGTTGAACTTTCGTTATCGCATTGAATTCTATACCATGGTCTTTAGCGTACTCGGTAATTTCTGTAGTGTATTTGTTTGCTGGATTGCCAGAGTTTCTTGTGATGCTGGCAGCGTAGATTAGTGATTTTTCTAAGTGTCTGAGCTCAGTAGGGGGTTCAAGTGCTAGGTTTCGAATGCTTTCTATGGGACTAGATCGGAAAGCTCCAATAGCGAATCTTAAGCTGGAGTTTATAGTAGAATCTATTATTCTTTTGTGGTGAGATTTGGCTGATTGGTAGATTGTTGCACCGTAGTCCATTTTTGCTCTGATGAGATGTCTGTGGATTTTTATGAGTGTTTCTTCGTCTCCTCCCCATGTGGAGTGGCTTATCATTTTCATGATGTTGAGACTTCTCGACAATGATATCTTGAGTTGTTTAAGGTGTTGTAACCAGTTGATTTTTTTGTCGAAATAAACTCCGAGTATTTTAATTGTATTTACGTTTGGGATGAGGATGTCATTTAACTGGATGTTGATGCGCTTTTGGCCTCTTTTGTTGGAGAATATGATGCATTGAGATTTAAGGCTGGAGATTTTGA